GGAGTACACATGTGACTGAATGGTTGTCTGTAGGAGTACACATGTGACTGAATGGTTGTCTGTAGGAGTACACATGTGACTGAATGGTTGTCTGTAGAAGTACATATGCATCTGAATAATTCTATGTAGGAATACACATGTGACTGAATGGTTGTCTGTAGGAGTACACATGTAACTGAATGGTTGTCTGTAGGAGTACACATGTGACTGAATGGTTGTCTGTAGGAGTACACATGTGACTGAATGGTTGTCTGTAGGAGTACACATGTATCTGAATGGTTGTATGTAGGAGTACACATGTGACTGAATGGTTGTCTGTAGGAGTACACATGTAACTGAATGGTTGTCTGTAGGAGTACACATGTGACTGAATGGGTCTCTGTAGGAGTACACATGTGACTGAAATGGACTCTGTAGGAGTACACATGTAGGTCAATGGGTCTCTGTAGAAGTACACATGTGACTGAATGGTTGTCTGTAGGAGTACACATGTAACTGAATGGTTGTCTGTAGGAGTACACATGTGACTGAATGGTTGTCTGTATGAGTACACATGTGACTGAATGGTTGTTTGTAGGAGTACACTTGTGACTGAATGGTTGTCTGTAGGAGTACACATGTGACTGAATGGTTGTCTGTAGGAGTACACATGTGACTGAATGGTTGTCTGTAGGAGTACACATGTGACTGAATGGTTGTCTGTAGGAGTACACATGTGACTGAATGGTTGTCTGTAGGAGTACACATGTGACTGAATGGTTGTCTGTAGGAGTACACATGTAGCTGAATGGTTGTCTGTAGGAGTACACATGTGACTGAATGGTTGTCTGTAGGAGTACACATGTGACTGAATGGTTGTCTGTAGGAGTACACAAGTAACTGAATGGTTGTCTGTAGGAGTACACATGTGACTGAATGGGTCTCTGTATGAGTACACATGTAGCTCAATGGGTATCTGTAGGAGTACACATGTGACTGAGTGGTTCTCTGTAGGAGTACACATGTAACTGAATGGTTGTGTGTAGAAGTACATATGTAACTGAATGGTTGTCTGTAGAAGTACATATGTAACTGACTGGTTGTCTGTAGGAGTACACATGTGACTGAATGGGTCTCTGTAGGAGTACACATGTAACTGAATGGTTGTCTGTAGGAATACACATGTGACTGAATGGTTGTCTGTAGGAGTACACATATGGCTGAATGGTTATCTGTATGAATACACGTGTGACTGAATGGGTCTCTGTAGGAGTACACATGTGACTGAAATGGACTCTGTAGGAGTACACATGTAGCTCAATGGGTCTCTGTAGAAGTATACATGTGACTGCATGGTTGTCTGTAGGAGTAAAATGTAACTGAATGGTTGTATGTAGGAGTACACATGTTACTGAATGGTTGTCTGTAGAAATACACATGTAACTGAATAGTTGTCTGTAGGAATACACGTGTGACTGACTGGTTGTCTGTAGGAGTGCACATGTGACTGAATGGTTGTCTGTAGGAGTACACATGTAACTGAATGGTTGTTTGTAGGAGTACACATGTAACTGAATGGTTGTCTGTATGTAGGAGTACACATGTAACTGACTGAATGGTTGTCTGTAGGAGTACACATGTAACTGAATGGTTGTCTGTAGGAGTACACATGTGACTGAATGGTTGTCTGTAGGAGTACACATGTAACTGAATGGTTGTCTGTAGGAGTACACATGTAACTGAATGGTTGTCTGTAGAAGTACACATGTGACTGAATGGTTGTCTGTAGGAGTACACATGTGACTGAATGGTTGTCTGTAGGAGTACACATGTGACTGAATGGTTGTCTGTAGGAGTACACATGTGACTGAATGGTTGTCTGTAGGAGTACACATGTGACTGAATGGTTGTCTGTAGGAGTACACATGTGACTGAATGGTTGTCTGTAGGAGTACACATGTGACTGAATGGTTGTCTGTAGGAGTACACATGTGACTGAATGGTTGTCTGTAGGAGTACACATGTGACTGAATGGTTGTCTGTAGGAGTACACATGTGACTGAATGGTTGTCTGTAGGAGTACACATGTGACTGAATGGTTGTCTGTAGGAGTACACATGTGACTGAATGGTTGTCTGTAGAAGGGTCTCTGTAGGAGTACACATGTGAACTGAATGGTTGTCTGTAGGAGTACACATGTAACTGAATGGTTGTCTGTAGGAGTACACATGTGACTGAATGGTTGTCTGTAGGAGTACACATGTAACTGAATGGTTGTCTGTAGGAGTACACATGTGACTGAATGGTTGTCTGTAGGAGTACACATGTGACTGAATGGTTGTCTGTAGGAATACACATGTGACTGAATGGGTCTCTGTATGAGTACACATGTACCTCAATGGGTGTCTGTAGGAGTACACATGTCTCTGCATGGTTGTCTTTAGGAGTAAATGTAACTCAATGGTTGTCTGTAGGAGTGCACATGTGACAGAATGGGTGTCTGTATGAGTACACATGTGACTTAATGGGTCTCTGTAGGAGTACTCAAGTAACTGAATTGTTGTCTGTAGGAGTACACATGTGACTGAATGGATCTCTGTAGGAGTACACATGTGACTGAATGGTTGTCTGTAGGTGTACACAAGTGACTGAATGGTTGTCTGAAGAAGTACATATGTAACTGAATGGTTGTCTGTAGAAGAACATATGTAACTGAATGGTTGTCTGTAGGAGTACACATGTGACTGAATGGGTCTCTGTAGGAGTACACATGTAAGTGAATGGTTGTCTGTAGAAGTACATATGTATCTGAATGGTTGTCTGTAGGAGTACACATGTGACTGAATGGTTGTCTGTAGGAGTACATGTGACTGAATGGTTGTCTGTAGGAGTACACATGTGACTGAATGGTTGTCTGTATGAGTACACTTGTGACTGCATGGTTGTCTGTAGGAGTACACACGTGACTGAATGGTTGTTTGTAGGAGTACACGTGTAACTAAGTGGTTGTCGGTATGAGTACACATGTAAATGATTGGGTCTCTGTATGAGTAAACATGTAAATGGTTGGGTCTCTGTATGAGTACACATGTAACTGAATGGTTGTGTATTCGAGCACAGATGTAACTGAATGTTTGGATGCATTTTTGAACAACGGGTTTGTCAGTTTGGATATGTGGGTACTGTTATGTGTGCATGTGTGTAAAAGGTGTGAAACGTATGCGTGAAGACAAGTGATGCAATAATGACTAATATTGCATTACAATCGTCTCACAATAAAGCAGTTCAAAATCTAGCATGACTGTCCCTGACTGTTCCAGATAGTGCATATTAACGTGTGTTGCACATAGTGATACCGACGGAAGGTTCTTGACCAATCTGTCGTGTTTTCCACAGGTGACACACCTGTCGCGTCACGACATTCATTCATGCCGCTAAACACGCCATGTTTCATATTAACTCACAGCACGTTAAGTTTATAAATATACGCTGATAGGGAGATGGTTCCAGTTTTCACGTGCTCTGAATATCTTGTAGATTAAAACTAATCAGCGCGGTAAGATCCAGATTAACATCTGCTCATGTTTTCAAGGTTGAGGTGACTTATTAAAAAAGCGCTATGAATAAGATATGCCTTCACAAAAGAGTACATCGTCATATGAGCGAAATATTCTCAAGTACGACGTAAAACCCAATTTCACCTCACAAAGAGTACAAGTAACTTTGCTTAGTACAGTATGTTAATTGACTTTATGATTATGTTACTACACATGGTACACACACGCGTTATGAAAAGTTGAAAAGAGGAATGGTCAATTAGCATGTAATACAAATAGATACCTTCAAAAACAACGAAAGCTAAAACAAATGTATTTTTTCTTTACCGTTGAATAGATGCATGTTGAATACGTACACACTGCTACTGTTCTGTATCGATTATAAACCTTGGACTTTCAACGTCAATACCCGTGAAGGTCAGGGTTAGAATGTACCTTCAGTGAGTGAGTGAATATTTAACGTCAAATCGGCAATATGAATGTACCTTCAGTAACCCATGCTTGTCGGAAGGGCCGACTAAAGGGATCGGGTGGTAAGGTTCGCTGGCTTGGTTGACACATGTCATCAGTTCCCAATTGCGCAGATCGATGTTCATGATGTTGATCACTGGATTGTCTGGTCCAGACTCGATTATTTTCAGACCGCCGCCATATAGCTGGAATATTGCAGAGTGCGGTGTAAAACTCCACTCACTCACTTCCTTCAACGTCAAAATGACCTGATCAAATTTCGGCTGTCTTTTTGGAAATAGAGCTGACATTTCTTGAAATAATAGCCAAATCATTCAACTCACTTTGAACAGAACATGATTAAATAACGTAGATTTTATTAATGACGTGCATAATTTCTCAGAATCGCGTGTCTCCATGCAATATAACAGAAATGTTGCTAAATAGGACAGAAAATCATTCTCACTAAAGATCACCTCTACAGACGGTACACAAATGAATTTCAAGCTATTGCCTGACTAACACGGCAGATAGTTCAGGCATTAAATATTGCAAATACGTACAGGTGTACGTCCTGTCTAGAGCCCCACTTTGATTGACAGGTTGCGTTTGCTGACTCAGCAAACAATTGAAATTAGTGATTTACTCTAAGACACAAAGCCACCCGACGAAACTGTGCAGTTGAGCGGTAGAAGAGACGAGAGTGAACTACAAGGTAAGCTGCGCGCCATAGTGTAAATGTAAAAGGAACATATCTCTAGTAAAATTATTATTGAATATTATCCAACACAAAATACTAATTAATGTGAGTTGTACAGATTCTGAATTTCATATTGATTGTTCATGTCCTGTATATTTAATGCTGGAGTCGATGGTTGCCCTAGATTTGGATGTTCATGTCCTGTATAATTTAAGCTGGAGTCGATGGTTGCCCTACATTTGGTATGGTTTGTCCTGTATAATTAACTGGAGTCGATGGTTGCCCTACATTTGACATGTTCTTGTTTTGTGCAGAACCCGCAGGAGCCTATCGTTGCGATTACGCAAAGCTGTTGAAGACGCGGTATGACATCAGCAGTGGCGTCGCAGGCCGCCTCTTTAGCACTGTAGACGTCAACACAGACTTCAAGGTCACCGCTGCGGACGAGGACGAGGCTGCATTCAAGTCGCTCGATAAGAATGGTTAGTAGTGGAGGAAGGATATACGGTACCTTGCATAGGTTGACTGTGTTGCACAAGATTATACAACCCAAAAGCATTCAGCCCCTGCTTTTGGCAGTCATGTTGTTTAAAGATTTTTGCACTGGATTGTCTCGTCCTTACTCGTTTATCTACACGAAGCTGTTATATTTTGGATTGTCGCATTAATAAAACAAATAAACAAACACAACGATGAGAAGTCACAACATAATGAATGATTTTTATCTGAAGGTAATGGCAAAGTGTCTGTGTGTGAAGTTTTCGAGGGGTTCATGGATGCGCTGCAAGATGCGGAGGAAAAGGCCTACTTGCAAGCGGTATTTATGACGTTTCAACAATATTTAACCCAGTTGGGAAACAGTAGCTATGTATCAGATGTTTGATATGCATTTAGAAGTTGGTAGGGTAATACAAGACACTTGGTATGGATGTGCAACTTCTTTACTATTTACACATGACGTTTTTGGGCTGATACTTGCCCCTTCATCAGGTGAATGACAGTGAATAGTTACAGAGGTATATATATACATTGTGTTCTGGAAGCCACAGAGTTGTTTCTACAAAGGTATGAGTAGTATGTACATGAAGCCACAGGGTTGTTTTTACAATAGATTAGTGAGGGAATTAAGCTGAATTAAGGTATACATAAAGTTTGTACAACGTGTTTACATAGAGTTAATGACCATAGATTGAAGCCAGTTAAGGGTGTACAGTGACAGAATTGGGATGTACAATGATAGAACAAGGATAGAAATTGGAATGTACAATAGTAGGCGACTGTGATGAACAGCATGTTAGGTAAACACCATTGTTGCAAGGAAATCAGTTAATGCACCAGGCATTGGGAAGGAAGACACCCTGGTCCCTCTTCATCTCAGGTTTAGACCGTTTGATGTGGATAGCTTCCATTAATTTCCGTTTATGCCAATTGCTAATGTGGTCAGGATTCAACGGCTAAGGGTGTTCTATGAGGTGAAATTGGTGGGGGGGGTGATGGGGGGGTAGGGTATAAACATACAGGGTCATTCATTTACAACCTCCAAAACATGGGGGGTGGGGTCTGATCGAAAGGGTAAGTAGGGTATTCTCGCCCATGGGCGAGCGAGTTCTGGTAATGCTCCAAAACATGACTTCTGAGCGAAATTAAACATTCTCGCCCATGGGCCAACATATTTTTCGCCCATGGGCGATTTTTAATATCGCCCTAAAGTTACGAATTAAGTCAAAATGAGTTGAAATTTGCCCATGATGCTTATAAACATGCACTCATTCATTTTACAACCTCCAAAACATGACCTCTGATCGAAATTAAACATTCCGCCCCCTGCCCTTAAATTGCCCTTTTCGAATTGTGCCCTGCCCTGCCCTGCCCTGCCCTGCCCTGCCCTGCCCTGCCCTGCCCTGCCCTGCCCTGCCCTGCCCTGCCCTGCCCTGCCCTGCCCTGCCCTGCCCTGCCATACAAACCTTGTGAAGAAACCTGGAAAAAAATAAAGGAACACTTGTCCTTTCTTGTGATCTCTTATTTTTTTCCCTCAGTATATTTGGGAATGAAACATATCAATATTACATTTATATCTTTCTAAATTGTTTATATCGTTAATTTGTCGATATAAGTTGGTTTTGTACACTGTATTCTGTGCACACGGTATCAGTGTTATTAGTCAGTCAAAAAACAGAATTACTGGATTTTGTAGAACTGAAAGCCCAACCTTTGTCTCTATTTTCAGGTAACGTATGCGGACATCCGCTTCAAGTACAGGAAACGTGGACCCATATTTTTCCCTGGGTCCAACTAAACAACCATGTTTGTCCTGGTAGCAAGACATGGGGCAACGATCACCTGACTGCATGGACGATAATACTTTGTTAATAAAATGGTACATGCTGTTTGGAAGAGTCAAATATCATGTTGATGAGTCAAATAATCATTTTTATTGGGCGCATATCATGAAGAGGTGTGCCGAATATTACGTGGATGAATTGAATATCTAAATCGGGTGAAACGAATATGACGTGGATGGTCTTATATACTGTTGGATGAACCGAAATCATGTTCCTCCATTCTTCTACTTTCTCAATTAAGAAAGCCGCAATTAAGTGAAAACCTGGTGTCAGTGAAAAAAGACTCACTTAGACTGAACAAAGAATTTCAAAAGACTTAACAAAAAAGCTACTTGGCTCGCAAGAAAGAAAAGGAATTACTTGACCTGGTTAGGGAAGTTCTGGTTATTCACCGTTATAAAATCTAAAACCTGAGCCAATATAATTAGCTCAATAACACCACTTAGTCAGTACAAGATCAAAACCGCCCATTTAATGCCTGCTACAAGTAAGAGTACGACCCATAACGGTCCAGCAATGGCTGACGATGATTAGGGTTGAGAAAAAACACCAAGGGGAGCTAGCGGCCAGCGCTGACGAGCAGGGGCCCCTAAATGCCAGCTAGGATTAACCAGAATTGTGTTGGCTAAACTAAGGAAAACAGGATTAGAAAACTAACTATTAAACGATAGGGTAACATAAGCTACCCAAAGGTAACTAGAAACATTTACAACCAAATGTGTACATTAAGGTGTCAAGCCCCTTGATACCGGGTCTGCTAACACACAATAAGTCAGGTGAACGCCCACACATGTGGTATTGATGAACAACTCTTCGTAGGAATTCCTGTCACCACTTTTGCACGTTCTGTAATAAATGCGCGCCATCTGCTGAGTACACACATTTTTAAGTTGATAGTAAGACAGTTGCAGTCCCTTGGTGTCCTAAATGACTTACAGTTTCAAGAAGGTACAAGGACAAGCTTAAGTATTAGCAGCAAGGAAAGGCCATCTTGGATCTAAAATTAATCATTTGAGGGCAGATATAGCAACAAACGTTAAACTGCGAGTGTTTTCGACAATTTCTAGCCCTCAAATATACTTCAAACACCAGTAGGTCAGAAACCAACAGTCCGATTTCGAACAAAATGTGCGTGCATTTCACCTACTCACCATTTGCAAAAATACAGCTTCTTCGACAACAGAGGGACAAGTAAAATTATATTTTTCTCACTATAGCTCTTATCTTCATCGGTTCTCTTCGGTGCACAATGACAATTGACAGTGTGTATATATGTGGTTTGCTGATCATTTGTTACTCTATGGGGCACGTTAAAAGCATTACCGTTTGGTGCTTAGATACAGTCCTTTTTCTTATAGATAAGCATTAATTGAGCTCGCTTAAAGAAGCACCATGAAAATCCTCCAACAACGCCTCCACTCGCCGGCTTTCCAAGAGTAAGAAAACAGTGTAATGAATATTGATACGAACTATAGATATACAGCGCACGAGCGCCTGATGTCAACATTACGACTTATATAGCTGCCGTTGAAATATTAATATAAGCTGAAATGGCTCAGTGTCTACTGACAGGTAAATGTTGACCACGATTTGTCAAGTACCTCTATCAGCAAGCAATGCGACACCTTTCAGTCACGAACCTTCTGATTGTTTTACCATTTCAATCTCACGTGACGGGTAATCGGTCTCAATCTCCATAACAGTTATGGAGGCGGACTGTAGTGATGTGTCATCGGTGTCGACTAAAGCTGTTGACAATGGTGGTTGAGTTCGTGCCATTTGTCAACGGGCAAATAGAATTACCTCCCTTAAATTTATCAAACTGGCATCTTAAATGAAGAAACAATAAATAGTTCCTACATTTTGTTAGGCTGTTATTAGGCATTTGAATTACTTCGTTGAAGGATACTTTCAACCACAATTTCTAACCAGAGTTAATATCTCAAACACCTATTTGCTGATGAAATAGCTAAATATTTCATTGAAACAGAAATAGTTGTTATTAATTTTGTTGGTCAATTTTACGCCACTTGAACCACCAAGGAAAATGCAGTGAATGAATATTATTTGCACTGACGTTCTATATCTGATTGGACTGGGTCGATGTTTCTGCTGGTGGACCATCTAGTTTCCTAGATTCATCAGAAGCTCAGTAGAAATTCAAGTATGCTGAGTCAACAAGGTCCTTGGTAATATTTCTATATGTTCTGGAAATTAGATCACTGGAAACGGTTGTTCTGTTGTTTGAGATCGACTTACGTTTCAATTCGTATGATGTGAAGCATAGTGAACCTTGCACCTTTTTCAGCAAAAGGGTACCACATTTTCTGCTTTCCTGACAGTTGAACAGGTTGTTCTGCCTTGAGATTCCTTTTTCCCCGACACACCAAATGCTATTCTTAGATCCAGATCCAAGAATGTAAGCTTTGCCATAAAATGATCTAAACTCACAGGACGCCCAGTACTTCCATTGGAAAAGTTTTCAGATAGCAGCATTGATTTGTCCAAACTAGCGGTGATGCCATCTATTCAGTTAAAACAAATGAAAGAGTTGCAATTAAACGTACAACCATTATTCTTGTTCCACTAAAGTTCCAATAAAAGCAGCATCTGTTTCTTAAGCCACAAGTGCCATTATCAATACCATACTGCACAATATTTTGTATCTAACCTTGGACCATAAGAATTCAAAGTTAACGAATGAAGCATTTCCCATTACTGGCAGTGATTGATCCATATTAACTGTACACATAACTCCTTTCAACAACCACGTGACAGATACAACTGGCTAGATTGTATTTAAGCCAACGACCGAAATCGTTGCTTGCAACAATATTTTTATGTTACCGTTGTGTCGAACTTAAGATTTGTGTGGACGAGAATGTGCCGTATTCTTTTGTTATTCATATATTTTCTGTTTCTCAAACTCTGGATAACTCGAAGTATTTACATTGTTCTCTTCAACTGCGACACAACTGTGTTTGACTGAATGTACAGATGTGGGCTACGAGAGTGTAAAGAAATGCTTATAAAATGTACTGAGGGGGGAAAAATTAGGGATCGTATGAAAGCACAAGTGTTCCTTTCTTTTTTCCCAGGTTTCTTCACAAGCTTTGTATCGCACAACTTGTGAAGAAACCTGGAAAAAATAAAGGAATACTTGTGCTTTCACGCAATCCCTTATTTTTTTCCTCAATATATATCTCATCAGGAAAAACATGCTAAACATGGTAGTTCCCCTAAACCACCACTTTTCACTCCGCTCTGGTCATACTCATCAGGAGGTTTGTGATTCGATTCCCCTCAAACTGTATGGTTCATTCTTGTATTCGATTTTAGAAACACCCACTCCAAACGACTTACCAGGAAAGCATTGCATTAGGGATGAGGTCTTGGTATGAACGACTGTATCTTAGGTCTGAAGTCTATGCAAAGAATCGTGCTGTTCGATGCCCCAGAGGTCATGGAGCGTCAGCGTATTCAATGTAAACAACTACTGAGGTGTTTGCTGTAACCTGTAAACATACTGAGCAGTGGAACACGCCCTAGGTGTATGTCAACCAAACGCTTTAAATAGACTGCATTCTCAATCCTCTAAACGACCTATATTAACTATGGTACAAAATCAATAACTATCTGGCTGAATGTAAAGTCAGTTTACCCTGTCCTAATTTGATTGCGACACTCTTTGAAGATAAAGTTTTCGTGTTTCGTATAGAGGTTTCCCATTACTTGTTTCAAGAATGGTGAGTGAATGTATGTCTGTGTGTCTGTATGTATGTATGTGTGTGTTTGTGTGCATGGATGCATGTGTGTGTCTTTGTGAAAGTTCAATGTGTGTGTGTGTATGTGTGTGTGTGTGCGCGCGCGTGCGTGTGGTGCAACAACCAAGAGAACGTGTTTATCTCTTTCCCCCTTCCTTCTTGACCGCGCATCCGACATTTACATATTTTGTGATGCATGCGCTCGGTCCTGCTTAGCCTTTAAGCACATGTCTACGCTTAAATTGCGAATAACATGAAAACAACTAACTGCTATGTTGTTGCGAATTGTCACAAGAAGCTAATTGCACATTAATTGTTCTTTCGGTTATTCATAATGTCAAGATCAAAGTGTCTTCATACACTCAACAAAATGTCAGTGTGGTTTTTTTTTTTTTTTTTTTTTTTTAGGTGTGTGTGTGTGTTGTTTTTGTAATAAACAGAAATAGCGACACTTCCTTATAAGCCTATATCGCTGCTTGGTATCACACAATTATATGTTACACGATACCGACAAATAACAAATAATGTGTCTTGGAAAATTTTCGCTACTGAATCTCCATTATGTTTAAGCGATACTTTCACGTTCAGTGTGTATGGATGTCAGCATTGTACATCTCTGTACGCCTACTGGTATGTTGTATAAGTGTGACTATCTGATTGACCTTTATTGGAGGAATTATGATCAACCAGGGCGGTCGGGTAGCCTAGTGGTTAATAGGGCTGCGCAATATAACCGGTTTACCGGTATTTACCGGTTCAGACATGAAAACGATACGTATTGCGATACGCTGATCGAAAACCGGTATTTTGACATGCATTCGGAAAACTTCGTAACACTCGGAAATCTTCGGATATTTCCGTTTTTTTAATTGTTCTTTTCCCTGTTTCATTAGTGCCAAATGTTACTTACATTTTTATTTTGTCATGATTAAAAGCTTTTATGAAAGGTTAATCAATCATAGTGAGTTTGTTGTGTTTTTGCTTTATAATCAAGCATTAACTCGATTATAAGTAGTTTTTGTTAAAAAAATAATCCTTGCAATATATTGCAATACATATCGCAATATATGCTTCCGCATCGCAATATATCGCAATATGAAAATTCTCTGCAATACCCACCCCTAGTGGTTAAGGAGTTCGCTTGTCACGCCGAAGACCCGGGTTTGATTCTCCATTTGGCCACAATGTGTCCCCCCGCCGTGACTTTGCGGGAATATTGCTAGAAGCGGTGTAAAACTAAACTCACTTACCAGTGACTATCGTTTTATCCCGGTTTGGGGAATACTGGAATAACCCTACCTCCTGGCTGCCTTATCGCCCGTCAGTCATCACCATACAAAAAGTACCTAAACAAAACAAAAACCAAACAAGAAGAGGAAGAAGAAGAACAACAACAAAACACCCAAAGATCACAGCTGGGAGTCCAGGGTACGATGTTAACCATTTACAGTTTCCCCAATGACAACAAAACTCTTGCTATTACCAACAGTTGTATTGCCGTTTCTACATCACAGGCGAATGTAATTAGGACACTTGATGTCCTCTGGCTTCAGTTTGTCCACCTCGTCACACTGGCGTTTGTCAAGGGGACTCACCCTGTTCTTCGTGTCACCGCAGTAGGGGTTCTTGAAACGCTGTGGACAGGAGAGTGAGTGAAATGGACATCCAGTGTTGTTTGGGTAGCATACACTAAACGCCAAAAGAAACGGACGGGGGTACCTATCTTAAGCTGGCGTTGTGATGCGTGGACGTCCACTGCTTCGTCTGTCTACGGTGATCCCAGTCTGTCTGAAGCCCTGAATAATATGTCTTATAACCGTGATACGGTGGCATCCGTAGGCGTTGGCAACAGCATTGTATGTCGACCCCATCTGCACCATCCCAATGGCTCTTTCTCTCCATTCAGCTGTTAATCGTGGCATATTTCTCGTCATTGTGTATCAGATCATGTCTTCTAGGCTCTCTTTATAATCTATAGAATCATTCTGCATGTGAAATGGATGTAAATACTCTTTGAATATTGCTGCGTTTGGGCGACTGATATTGCTATGTGTAAAATGGAAATGGAAAAATGTTACTTTGCAAGCAAAAATGTTAACAAAGATAATTTTAGATATTCCTAAACATATTTTCACAATATCAAAGACAGGGTTTTTTTTGTTTTCACTAATGCAAATCAGCAAAAAATTGAACTCTTTTGAAAAAGATGCATTTCACCCAAACATGAATACATTTGAGAAATTTTTTTTCGTGATTTGCATAAAGCTGTGTTGTTAAGCTTTCTTGTGAACTAAAACCTTCTAAAATATCTTTGATAGTTTTTCAGTAATTCATAAAGGTAGGAGGGTAACGTTTCTTTTGGCGTCTAGTGTATTGTGTGATATCACTTCGTTCAGTGTTTATTATGTAATTAAATCTGAAAGTTAGAACTCAGGTTTAACGGACCACATGTAATGACTTCCAATATCAGTTCATTATAACTATTCCTGGATTTGTAACTTAACTTGGTTTGTTCGAGATGTATTTACGATATCGACCTTCGTTATGTCAAGACTGTTTTTTTACTTACCGTGTATTGCATCATTAAAAAGTCGGCATTGGTCATATCTGAAAAGAAAGAAAATGTAAGAGAATGTTGGTATACGTTTTTACTCATTTACAATTCCATTCAGCCTTTTCACTATAGAAATGTCATTGTGAGAAGAATTGATTCCATGATTAAGTAATTCTTTAAACGGTACACCAAGTGTCCCCCGCTGGATCCACCAACATCTTCTTGAGGCAAGAAGGTTAACTGACTGTTAAAGTGGAAACTGGACTTTTATGGCCAGTTATCTCCCTTGCCTCGGGAAAGTGAACCATTAACGGGAGGACACAAATTTTGAAAGTTTCTCTTACTGAATGCACCGAAGTCGTCTGCCGTCGCACGGCCATCTCCGTTGACGTCAAAAAATCTGTACATGTATCTGCCGTACTCTTCGGAAAAGCCGTACCGACACGACCACCTTGTCACGACCTCCCACAAGTCCGTGACACAAAGGTCTTCTGTGGGTTAAAATGAAAAATATTATGTTTTTCACAAAAACGTATGTCACAGTTGTGTGGTTCTTCGGCTTTTCTTTATCAGCACCAATATCACCTCCGCGATCATCATGAGCATCAATCTGAGGATTATCAAGTATAAAATGCACACAAATATGTTATAATGGATGGATTATAACCCCTACATTTAATTTACATTTGAAGCATTTCTTGACACGTCTTTCACCGCGAACCGGAAAAGCGAAGAAATCAACCACTTTCCACGTCTTTACAACATTATCAATTGAATTCATTTTACTTATTGTGCATTTTTAGGCTAAATGAGGTTTTGTAGACGTTGTGTCAAGACTGTAGCTTCTGTCAATATATACAAACTGCAAATAAAATATTATGTGTCATAACCAAATGATAAAGGGGTTATAAGCCATGACTATTCAGCTTATAAGACAAATCGATTTCATGAACATTTACGTCTTCATATATCAAAATCTTACAAAGTTTCAGACTCAACCGAGATCTACTGTCTATTACATTTTTACACTAAGTCTTATTTTATGGAGTGATTTCAATCAAAGGAGTTCCCCTACCCCTATATTATCCCTTTTTTCCATATGGGTCGGTGGCTAAATTTACCGTCATAGTTGTAAGGCAGGGTATCGATGGCGACGTCATTGCCGTCTACTATGCCGTCATCGTTGACGTCGTTGTCCAGTAGAGTAGCACAGAATTTCCCCACCAGCTCCTCTGGAGGATTGCAGTGGTTAAACAGGTAAAAAAAGGACCTTCAAGAAGAGACAGATAGTGAATGAATGAGAGAGCCAAAATGGTTTTCTGGGGTTCTAATTTTGGGGATGTTTATTATGAAATAAAATTGTTGAGATTTGTTTTGGTTTTTTGCTTATTTAACACTGCACTCGCAAATATTCCAGCTATATTTCGGTGGTCTGTAAACAATCCAGCACCGATCTACGCACTTGGGATGCGATGACATATGTCTACCATGTCAGCGAGCCTGACCACCCGATGCTGAAGACCAATTCTAACCCAGAGCTACACTGGTGAGTAGTAGTAGTAGTAGTAGTAGTAGTAGTAGTAGTAGTAGTAGTAGTAGTAGTAGTAGTATGGTTGCAAAATACAGATAGTTTACAAATCAGATTTACGGTTTTAGTGAAAGTTTTGATATACCTGGAGAAACCACAGGTCCCATAGAAGAGGAGGATAAACACGGTAAGTTGGAGGGCAAGCATTCTGCAAATGAAAACCAGACTCAGGTGAAGGTTGAATTTGCCTTCAGTATTTCAAAATCTCTCTGGTGTTATTGCGCATGCGATAAACAACAAAGTAGTGGTTTATGACACGAACACCAGTCAAATCCCTCCAACTTCCATTCAAACTCTTAAATGTAGAACGCAAAGATATTCTCAATAATTTTACCGAACGCGATTATGTTGTGGAATTTATTGCACGATGGATCTGTTAATGCTATTTCCCTGAATCAATTTAAAACCATGATAAACCCAACAGAAACTCGCAATTACTTTGATTTAAATTTTGGAACTTAGATTTTGTCAAACCATCCATTGTCGCCTCAAGCTCGGCTTTGGTGATCTAAACGCAGACAGATATAATCGACATATATCGGAAACATCTAAGTGTTCATGTGGTCATTATAATGAAGACGTTATTCACAACCTTTTTACGGAACTATCAAAATTTAAGAACAATTGTGTAACGAAATAAAATATTATACAGCACAATAACTTCTTAATTCACTTACTATGTAGTGTATATGATATATCGTGTAACTCGGTATATGTGCATACTTGAACTCTTCCACAAGAATGAATTATGTAATTAGCTGAATAAATATTGTATGAACCTGGTACAGCTATAATTGTTTATAAGTGTTGGTGGAACAGTCTACCTGCTGGAGGGGAGAGAGCTAGTAATTAAAAAAACACTCGACAGGAACAGGTTGGGTATTGGACGGGTAGCCAAACTGGGAGTAGTCATAATTGGAATGAACCAAATCAGTACACACTACATCTATCAGGAAGCATATTCAGCGGACAGTAAGGGTGGCAACTTTATATGCCCTACGACTGAAGAAGAAAACAGTAATTAATCAGCACTGATGAATAAAGACCTAGTTAAATGTTGTTGTAAAATTCAGAAAAGTACGAACCTGTCTGAATGTGCTGGATAACGACTCGAGATGTGGCCAGATCTGTCTCCGACTGTTCAGTATGTGCTATAGCTCCGCCCCATGGGGAGGCGGACGCAAGGAGCTTTGGCAAGTGAGGGTGCCGACGAGGGGTGTCCAACTGAATTTTATAATCGTCTCCATTTGTGGATACTACAAGGGAATGGTACAGGTAACAATATAATCAATCTATTGTAAGATATTTTTGTGTGACTTGAAATGGAATACGGAAGATGCTCACAAGCGCTCACAATATTAATCCCTGTATGACCTGACCAAACACCCGCTGCACAGCTGGAATATTGCTTAGGGCGACATAAATCCACAATGCAATATAAAACATGAACGGGCTCTTGTCCAGTGAACGTTTGTGGAATCGATTGCAGATGTAGAACTTTTAACCCTTGACAATACATCATAAAACAGAAGTTGACCCGTTGCGCGTAAGTTGAGTTTAATTACTTGTACATCGGTAAATTTCTGCTCGTCGTGGACACATCTGTATATCTGTGTGTAGTAGGCTTTAAGTACATACATAGTCGGAGGAAACGAGATTGAATTTCCTGTCGCTGCCGTGACAGAAACTGTTAATAGAAAAAAATATAGCACGAGCAGCGACGCGGGCTCCTTGGCTTTAATACAATCTAGCCATTTGTACCTGTCACGTAGATATTGAAAGTAGTAATGGCTACAGTAATATCTGTCAGCTATCACTGTCAGTAATGGGAAATGCGTCATTCATTAGCTTTGAATTCTTATGGTCCTGGGTTAGATACAAGGGATTGTGTCCTATGGTTTGGATAATGACACTTGTGGCTTTGGAAAGTGACTACAACCAAATGATGAGAATTGTTTACTGTGATTTACATTATATGGATTAAAACGTAAGTCTATCTCAAACAACAAAACAAACATTTCCAGTAATGTATTTTCAACAACATATAGAAAGATTACCAAGGGCCTTATTGACTCAGCATGCTTACATTGCTACCGAGTTCATGATGAATCTAGAAAACTTCAGTCCACCAGCAGACACATCGAAACGTGTGTTTATATAGAGTTAACTCAGTCCTGCCTCTCTTATGAGGCGGGGTAGCCACTGACTTGTAGTGCAGTAGCTGACTATGACTTCTTATTATCATATAATATGTGCTGGTGGCACTGGCAATACTCATGCTAAATTGAGATGATCTCATGGATCAGTGTCAAAGTCAATGTCAGTGAATCATAACAAGCACTTAACATGTGATGTCACCAATCTATGAATCCTTTGAAGAAGTAATTAGCAAGTAAATAAATGTCAATCCTATTTCGCCTTGGCAGGCCACCTCTCGCCCATGTGTTCACTGATGCAATCTCTTTGGAAATTACATTGTCGGTTTAGAGAGAGTCAATTTGCATCAAAAACATGTTTTTTGACCGGATTTGAGTGTTGGAATTCAGAATAGAGGGATGTCGGATTAGAGGGAGTTTCTTATATGATATTATGTAGGGACAAATTCAAGACTTGAATATACATGTCGGTTTACAGGGAATGTCGGATTAGAGAGAATCCACTGTAACTCTATTTGCCCGCTTGACAACAGGCGCGAACCCAACCGTCACTATCCACAGCTGTTGTCGGGAGAAGCGATGGTGCGAGACAGTCATGACATAACATTACGTCATTACCGAGAACGCCCACCTTCGATCGCATTCTCTGCCGACAGAGGTGCCTGACAAGTCATGATCAACATTAAGGTGTTAGTAGATACTGCTCTTGAGCCATACTAACGCTTCCATCAGCTATCTCAGTTACATCTGACAATCGTGAACATGACCAAACGGTGATACTTTTAACATGCACCATTGAACAGAAAATGATCAGCAAACATTTGAGATACATACTGCAAATTTCCATTGTGCTGTCTAGAGAACCGATGAAGATAGCAACTACAGTGAGGAAAATAAAATTTCACTTGTTCCTCTGTTGTCTTTGGAGATACGTTACTGAATGGGTAGCTATAATCGGCCTTAGCAGCCAACATGCACAGGTATATTTTTGTCGAAATCGGACGGTTGGTCTCATAGTTACGGGTGTTTGAACTGTATTTAAAGGCTAGAAACTGTTGAAAACGGAGCAAGAACACGTTTTTGACACGCGAGCGGACCTTCCAAATACAGCCGGGGTCGCAGGGGTCATGTACATTTTAAAACGTTCCCGAGAAGAAATAGATCCCTCTTTGACAGGCCGTAGTTCCGTTGTCCTTGGGTCTACAGTCAAAACAATTAGTGTTCTGGAATTGCCAGTGCTTCAACTATCAGATGCACACACACATGGCATACGGACCAGCGGAAATGCCTACCCGTCAAAAACGTGAAATTTCCTTCAATCCAATATGGCGGCAAAACGGTGCCTCTTAGCCCCATGGGTCCTGCAGTTGAAATTGAAGGTAATCCAGACCTGCTCCAGAAATTTGGTAGTCATTGGACTTGTAGTTTCGGAGATTATTGCTTTGGAAATTGAATATTTTAAATTAATTTTGAATTATCTGCCCTTTGTTATTGGGCCTAGAGCCTTGAGATTTTTGCAGAAACAACTTCAGCACTGTCGGCACCTTGGTGAATGTTTTCAAGCGATTCTGTCGAGCGGTGTTTTTTGTACGAGTGGTACAAAATACGGCGGAATAATTAATAATAATAAACACATTAACGATTACAATAGGTCTCCTGTTTGGCATGAAGGAGCCCTAAATATCTGTAAAATATAAAAATCGAAAATAGAGATAAACGTATTTTTTACTGTTTGAATAGATGCAGTGTTTAATAATCTAATGCGTCTTAATTTTTACCAACTACTATCACATGGTTCGAATAATATTAATTGTAATATTAATATTAAACCATTATATTACACTCAAAGCAGTTGAACCAAATTAACTCACTACGTGTTAAATTCACGTAGAATTTATTAATGACATGCACAGTGGGGTAGCCTAGTGGTTAAAGCGTTGGCTCGTCACGCCGAAGACCCGGGTTCGATTCCCCACATGGGCACAATGTGTTAAGCCCATTTCTGGTGTCCCCCGCCGTGATATTGCTGGAATATTGCTAAAAGCGGCGTAAAACTAAACTCAGTCAGACAGTCAGTCACTACATGTTAAATTCACGCATAATTTATTAATGACATGCACATTTTCTTATAATCTCATGTCACCTCCAATATATAGGAATGTTGCTTAATAGGACGCAGGAACCACACAAGATCACCACTACAGACGGTACACTTAACGAATGTCACTAGTTAGTCCAGCTGTACAAGGTATTGCCTGACTACCACGGCATTAAATATTGCAAATACGTACAGGAGTGAGTCCTGTCTAGAGCCCCACTTTAAGTGAAAGGGTGACTCGGCAAGTAATTGCAATTAGTTTTTTGCTCCGAGAAACAAAACCACCCGGCGAAGTTGTGTAGCTAGCGGTAGATGAGTCGAGAGTGAATTTCAAGATAAGCTGTTCGCGATAGTCTTAATGTAGAAGGACCACTTCTCGTGTAAACGCCTTATTGAATGTACGAAAGTGTCCTATGACCGAGGATAGTAATGTACGTAACGCCGGGAGCAGGCAATGTGCCTTGATGCGAGCGCCTTAATTAAGCGGACATTGTGAGTTCTACATAATTTCGTATGTTTTGCTGTTGATGTCTGTTGGTTGACTTTTTCTCTTTTCTGGTAAAAGACCCTCTTTATAAATGGTTTGAGACCCCATTTTGTGCATGTACGGGAAAGTTATGTAAAGATTCGTTAAATTATCCATATCATCAACACTTTAACAGTACGAATTTGCTAGTTGCCGAAAACGGGGGTTCCCGTTTTGCCGGACGCTTTTGTTATAGATAAAAATGAACTGATGCGCGATAATCCTTTAATAAAAGGTCACATGCAACCAAAAAATCATACATAATTAAAACACAATTATCACTTATTCATGACATATAATATACATTGCTGGTTATTAAAAAACATTTAAACAAAATTATAAGCGTACAATCGCAAATCAAAAGTGCAATATTGTGTACTTGGGTTTACTTCCCAAGAAACGAAGCAGCCGGGATACCGAACCCAGTGGTGTCCTCCCATTACGCAGACAGCCAGTTCGCAGACACCTTAAAACAACAACATTTACGGTTCAGTGAACAGATTATCTACTACCTGTTACCTACACATTATAATGGAATAGTCCAAATAAAAACACAGGAACAAACTGAAGCTATATTATTTATTTTGAAAGATGGACGAAAAGACAGTAATTTGAATTTTTATTGCTGCAATATAAAAACAATTTATTTTCATAAACATTTCGGTTTAACCTTCTAGTCTAACGGGAGTCGGCATCATCATATTGAAAACACTAGCTTAGCTATTAGAAATTGCGACATTGTTGTATCATATAAATCAAATAAAGACAAATGTGAACCTAAATATTCATATGGAATAAAGAAGTTATATGTTTTGCACACAATATTATGATATATGACGAGTGCACTTAATTACGATTTATTTAGAATAAATATTCAAAATATGACGCATCATGTGATGTGGCCATGGATGTGAGAATGTTTTTCATTACTTCCTTCAACGTCCATTGTATGATATTCAAAGACATAAACTGTTACAATCTTTAGAAAGTATTGTTAAAATCAGAACACTGATTAGTATTAATCTGATCTTACATGGCAATGCAGGTGTCTCATTTACTGCAAATCAGAAATGTTTTCAAATATGTACATATCTATATCTCTCCAACAAAACGTTTTCTCAGTTAACTTCTGTTGTACATATGCTATTATTGGGAGGTTTTTTTTCTATCAATAAACTCAATCAAACCTCTCAGTGACAAACCTGTTTTTATATTCGATAGTAATTGATAGTAAAATCAATTTTGAGAAGAGAAATCATTTATCATTTAATCACAACAAAGTTCTATTTACCCACAATCAAACTTCGCAGTAACGAACCTGTTTCAGGCTCACCCTGCTCTACTCACTAGACAGTGGACTGTTCCATTATACCCGTAGGTGTTACCCTAATTAACCTTCTAGTT